GGTTTCGCGTCTCTTCTTCGACGCCTGTCGCTCACAGAACCCCGCGCACGTCCTGCCCCGCCTGTGCTCGCTCCGCCGCGGCGGTGCGCGCGACAACCTGCTGGCGGGCGCGAGGGTGCCCAGGCAGGTGGTTGGGCGGGGCCGCTGGGCGACGCAGACGTCGCTCCGTCGCGGCGGCGAGGAGACGCGGCTGCTGCGGCAGGCCGCCGAAGTGGACCCCGACGCACTGCCATTCGGCCAGGTCGTCGAGCAAAACTTCTTGGACGTGCCGCGCGGCTGTTGCTCGCGGCGGCGGCGGCGGCTCCGCTGGCGACCCCCCGCCACTTGCTGGGCGGCTCCTCCTCAGCCCGCCGCGCAGCGACGCTGACAGCCTCGCCAGACGGCGTTTGGCGACGCCTCCAGCGCCGCCTTCGACGGCCGCGCCCGGCCGCCGAGAGGCGGTGTGGACGCGGCGCTGCGCTCAGTTTGCGGCCGCGCTTCCGCCGGCCAGGGCACGGGCGCACGTGCGCGCGCATCCCTTGGGGCGCCGTCGAAGGCCCTCTCGGGCACCATCGGCTCGCTCCTCCCAGGCTGGTGGCTCGCCGAGGCCGTGGTTGCCTGGGGGATCGACACTCCGCGTGCATCCTGGTCCCTGGCGTTTCGTGCCCCCCTGTGCCGGGCCGGACGAAAGGGGGGGATTGGGAAAGGGGGGGGTACAACATTTGCTGCATGCAGCTGGTTTCGGCCCCACCGAGGGGCCCATTCCTCGATACATGGGCGCCTCCGGCGCCGGGAGGCGCCGGGAAAATCAGCTTCTCAAACCCCCCCCTTTGCTATCCCCCCCTTTCGCCCGACCCTACTGTGTCCCACGCGCCGTCCCGTGGGCAAGCCTGGGGAATTGACCGGCGCTCGCCGTGGCCGCTTGCTGATCGGCAGTCGTGTATCTTCTTTTGATTTGCCGCCACGGCTGTGCTTTGACATCGCTGGCCTTAAGTCGGACTAGTCCCTCTACAGGAGGGATATTCACAAATGGTCGAAACATAGTCTGGGGACCATTTTTGTTTTTTAGTATTGGGAGACTATTGTTTGAGTATTCTTTATTTTTCGCCCAGCATCCCCCTGTAGGGGGACAGGCCCGACCTAACGGTTGCCCTGTGTTTCTAGACTATACGCGCGGGTCGTTCCCCTGGCACGCGCCGGCCACGAACGCAGTGCTCGTCGACCCTTCATGCCCTGTTCACCAGGTGAACGTGTGCTTATTTGGCATGCCTTTCCAAAGTCCGACTTCGGTAGCGGCTTGGCATGGTGGTGTGCCATCCATGGACGTGCAAACGGTGCTCTGCCATCGATGGTTTTTGGTCCTGTCTGGGTCCCTCCCCACACTTTTTTTCGTCGATCCGCCGTGCCGAGTTACCGCGATTAATTACGCCAGTGTTTTGAAAGAGCGACGTTTGAATCAGTACAGTTCTGTAATAGAATGTGCTCTTCACGCAGTATAAGCAAATGTGTGCGAAGGTCGTGGCGCTCAATTTTGTGTCCAGGTCTGCACAGGTGGATTCGAGTGGTGTCTCAGCAGTCTCTTGGAGGCGTGGGGGTCCCTGCCCCTCCCTTTCTTCCGCAGGCTGCGGGCTCGACGAGGCATCGCCGTGCGTCTCCCCATGGAATACGAGTCGCATCTCAGTGTTTGTTTTAAGGAGCTGTAGGAGGTGATCCCTCTAACGAGCCTCTGCTACGATCCAATGCGAAGGGAGCCGCACAGTCGTTTGTCCTGGATGCCTGGAGAGTGGTAGTAGCTATATGTATGTATATACATATAAGTACACATACATACATGCATACATCTACATATACGTATAGGTATGTGCGGCTGTGGTTCCCAGCAGAACGCTCTTTGCGAGAGGCTCGGGAAGTACGGCGGCTTCGCGCCGCGTTGACGCGGTGGTGACTCACAAGCGGCCTTCAAGGTTGAACACCGCCAGATGATGCTGATGAGTGTTGCCCGTGCCATCCGAGACACATGTTCGTTGAGATTCGAATGAGTCACGTGGTGGAGGCAATGAACTCCAGCGTCGCCATTGCGCACGAACCCGCCGTAAGTGCAATGGTGGCGTTCCCCGTAGTGGGGATTTGCCCATAGCCACCGCCTGGGTGATCGTGCTTCGAAGGTTCCGGAGGACGGGGGATATGAATCTATTCGGAGATTAGGGGGGGAATGTGTCAAAATTCGCTGTGCGCCGATGGCCCGAAACTCGATCCCCCAGGCGGTCGCTATGGATACATCCCCGCCTCGAATTTTCTGTTCCTGCAAGGATGGGCTCTGCCTGCAGCCAGGGCTGCTGCAAACGGGGACTCTGCTGAGTCCACCCGTCAAGTGGGCCGCCCGCACGGATGCCGAGAGCTTCGCGGAGGCGGAGGAGCTTGCAGGTCACAGCCAATCTGGTTAATAAGAGGGCAGCGGTGTCTGGATACGGAAATGTGTCAGGACAATGTGGTTTTTAATTGGGTTTGGCGATAACCTGTGGAATCGGGCCCGTCCCCCTCCCCCCTTTCTGCATAACCTGACCTTGTCCGTTGCACAGGTCCGGAAAGGCGGGGCATTATTGATTCGAGCGGGCACACGTGAGGGGGCCGCAAACAAACACATTAGGTTGTCGGCCCCCCCTTCTCCCCGCAGATCAAGCGATCTCCAGGGGTCTTCGGGTTCTTCCTCCTCTGACGTCCCTTGTGCGCTCCTTTCGAAGCAGGGAGAGCTGCATACACGGAAAGTTCCGACATTTCGAGCGGACTTCTTGGATTTAGCATGGCCCCCCCGGGCTTTTCTCTGGCGTTGCCTTTGGCGCGCTGCGCGCAGGGGATGGGGGTCCCAGCGCCGATCCAAGAACTTCGCACGGACCTCCGAAAGTGTACGTGTATGACTCGTATTGTTTCTCTAGAGAGGGCCAACGGGCCCCTGGGTTGTTCAGAAGGGGAAAAGATAACACAGACACAATTAATCGTCGATTCCCCCGAAACTACGGGAAAATGTGGGAGTTTTGGGGGGGAGACAACACCCCAGAAAGTATACGGAAATATCGGGAATCCTGTCATTTGTGTCTATTTATTGCGAAGGCCTGACGGCCAGTGCCGCCGACCCTGAAGAGAACCACGACGTCGGCGACGAAGTGGGCGGAGACGGAGGCCGTGGAAGATGAGGAGGAGGAGGCGAGGAGGAGGTGGAGGAGGCGGAGGAGGAGGAGGAGGAGGGCGGATGAGGAGGAGGAGGAGAGGGAGGCAGGAGAGGAGGAGTAAGAGAGGAGGAGGAGGAGGAGGAGGAGTAGGAGAGGAGGAGGAGGAGGAGGAGGAGGAGGGAGGCGGGGGAGGAGGTGGGGGAGGAGGAGGGGGAGGAGGAGGAGGAGGAGGCTTTGTGCCTCTTTCTCTGCGTGTCCCAGGGCCCCTTCGCTTGCTCCTCCTCCGATCTCCCTCCGGCGCTCCGCGGGCGCAGCCGGGTGCCGCGGCTGGGACGGGGCATTCGTTGCCTCCCGCCAGGGGGCAACCGGCGTGCGCGGGGGGGATTGGCACGTCGACCCCCAGTCTTATGCGAGCAGTGGCGAGGCGTCCCGGCTCGCCGATAGCCCCACCAAGCAATGTTCTGAGAACCTCGTGTGGTTCCCACGGAATGTTCTTAGAACATTTCTTGGCTGGGACCGTCTTGTTTGAACACATCGGGTTTCTGTTCTGAGAACACTTCTTGTGTTCTTGGAACATGCTTGGGTTCTAAGAACATTTCGTGTTATGACTATAGGAATGCCGGGACGGTCGGTCCCTGCTCAACTTACGATGTTCCAACCTACTTTAGCCTTGATGGGAAACGAAGAATGACATAAACATACCAACTCGGAGGTCCGCGCGGATTTCTCGGATCGGCGCTCGGGCCCCCTGGCGGCGCCTCCGGTGCCGCCCCTGGCGCGCTCCGCGCGCCAGGGAGGGCGGTCGAGCGCCGTTCCGAGAAGTCCGCGCGGACCTCCAAGTTTTTATGTTTATGCCACTTTTTGTTTCCTTACCTTGATTTCACCAGCATGAATTTCGAGCATCAGAAAATTACTCCCAAACTCCAGGGGGTTTTCACGTGTCGGGCCATGGGAGACACCCTTTCGACACTGTTTCACCCTTTCGACACTTTTCCGGGTGCTCGAAATTGGTTCTGGGATGTGGTCCTTAAGTACGATGGGAGCAACATAACCCCAGTCGTCTATGCGTCGCCGATGTGGGCCCGATAGTCGATCGCCCACCTTGCCCAAGGGCGTGTACGGCTTCGTTAGCGGGTGTCCATCGCCGATCTATCGGCTTTGCATCGCCGATTCCAAGTCGACGTAACCCCCTCCCAGCCAGTCCCACCTATCGTCCCCTTGCAGTTGAGTTCCCTCATGGCCAGGCTTTGGCCGGAGCTGCGCGCCTTTTTTGTTGTCCCTCCCCGGGCCTGCTCGGGCGACTGCAGGACGCCGGGTGGCGTGGCACTTCGGTAGCAAGTGATGAGAGCCCTGTGTGCACCCTCGCAATTCTGTCTTCAGCTTTGATCAGCGTCGACTAGCGTCAGTGAGTCGATGAGATAGCGCCGATTTAGCGTCGAATGCGGCGACTGGCGTCGATTTAGCGCCGATTTGTGTCGATTAGCGTTGATTTAGCGCCGACTAGCGTCGATTCGGAAGAGCGGACAAGATGGTATGGGAGGCTCCCATGAGTTGCCACCGAAGCGTGGCACCATCCGCCCCTCTGCACGGGTGGCGCATGTACTTCTTTTTCGTCTCGTCCTCCTCTGGGGGGGAGGGAGTAGACGAGGAGGAGGAAGAGGGAGGCGGGGCGGAAGCTTCCGCGCTGCGAGTCCAATCGCTTGCCCTCGCTCCAGAACTCCTGCTCCTCCGCCTCCTCCTCCTCCTGAGCCTTATTTTTATCCTCCCCCTCCTCCTCCTCCTCCGCCTCCTCCTCCTCCTCCTCGTCCTCCTCCTAGTCCTCCTCCTTCTCCTCCTCCTCCTCTTCCTCCTCCTCCGCCTCCTCCTCTTCCTCCTCCTCCTCCCCTCCTCCTCCTCCTCCTCCCCCTCTCCTCCTACTCCTCCTCCTCCCTCCTCCTCCTCCCCTCCTCATCCTCCTCATCCTCCTCCTCCTCCTCCTCCTCCTCCCACCCCTCCCTCCTCGTCCTCCTCCTCCTCCTCCTCCTCCTCCTCCTCCTCCTCCTCCTCCTCCTCCTCCCCCTCCTCCTCCTCCTCCTCCTCCTCCTCCTCCTCCTCTTCCTCCTCCTCATCCTCCTCCTCGCCGTTCCCGACCCCAGAACCCTCCGCCTACCCGTGTTAAAAAGAAAGGAGGGCGTGCGAGGCAGCGGAGCAAAGCACCAGCGCACACATGTCTTCTCGCCGTGGGCCCCGTGGGGCTCGGGACGTGCGGGCTGGGTGGGTGGACTGGACTGGACGGTTGAGTTTAGCATTGGTCCTTGAGGGGGAGGATGCTGCTGCTGCTGCTGCTGCTGCTGCTGCTGATGATGATGATGATGATGATGATGATTATGAGGATGACGATGATGATGATGATGATGATGATGATGATGATGATGATGTTGATGGTGATGGTGATGGTGATGGTGATGCTGCTGATGCTGCTGATGATGATGATGACTATGATGATGCTAATGCTGATGCTGATGCTGATGATGCTGATGCTGATGATGATGCTGATGATGATGCTGATGCTGATGCTGATGCTGCTGATGATGATGATGCAGATGAAGAAGAATAATATGATGATGATGATGATGATGATGATGATGATGATGATGATGATGATGATGATGATGATGATGATGATGATGATGATGATGATGATGATGATGATGATGATGATGATGATGATGATGATGATGATGATGATGATGATGATGATGATGATGATGATGATGATGATGATGATGATGATGATGATGATGATCTGATGATGATGATGATGATGATGATGATGGTGGTGGTGGTGGTGGTGATGATGATGATGATGATGATGGTGATGGTGATGGTGATGGTGATGGTGATGGTGATGATGATGAGGAGGATGATGAGGAGGAGGAGGAGGAGGCATGGTTTATCCGTGATCGCAAAGTGGCCTACTGTAATGGCCTCGGTCCAATGCCGCCGATCTAAGGGGCTCTGGATTCGGTGATCTTCGCGGCTCTGTGGCCTCCTCCCTCCTCGATTCTTCCGGTCCTTCTTCTTCTTCTTCGTTCTCGTTGTCCTCTGCCTCCCGCTGACCCTTGCGCTCTTGGGGTCGTCGGGGACGCTTTTTGGAGCTGACGTGCCCTGTTTGGGAGGGAGGGCGCTCTCGGAGTCGTCGGGGACGCATTTTGGAGCTGACGTGCCCTCTGGGGGGGTGCTTAGAGCGGTCCCGGGGTGGGTCCAGGCAGGGTTCCGAGGGGAGGGTGCTGGGGGCGGTAGCGGCTAGATCTGAGGGGGGTCCCTGGGACTCCCGATGCATCCTGGGGATGCGCAAATCCTTGAGAAAACGGCAAGTGGGGAACGCCCCCCCCCCCTCCCCCCTTCTCCGGTCCGGGGACTGGGGGTGGTAGCGGGTAGATCTGAGGGGAATGCGCAAATCATTAAGAACACGCCAGATGGGGGTCCGCCTCCCCCCCCTTCAGCAGAGCCACCCCGGCGACCCCCCCCCAAGCAGAGCTGAAGCTCTTGCTTAGGTTCAGAGCTGAAGTTTTTGCTGAGGCTCCTTGTAGCTCACGCGCCAGATCGGCGGATTTAATTTGGCAAAGTCCGGCTCTGTCCCGCTTGATCCCGTTCCATCTGGCTGAAAGTTCAAGGTTTCGTCTTGGCTTCTCTGTCTTCGTGGCCCCCCGACTTCTAGCTAACATTAGCCTTGCGAAGGACCCAACCATACGCAGCTGCGAGTACCGCAAGGAGAGGAGACGGAGGTGGGGGTGGGCAGCGAAAAGGACTGCGGCGTGCATGAGCGGGAGAACAGCTGACGCGGGCGAGCGGGGAGTCTTCTTGGTTTCGCCAGAGCCCCGCGCCCGGCCGTTTTCCCTCCCACGAACCGTGTGATGGGTGCGCCGGAATGGGGCAGCGGTGCCATTCGGACGCCCCCGCTGGGGCCTTCGGTGGAGCTCCCTATGGGGGCCACGATCCTTCTGAGGGGTGTGCCAAAATGAGGCGGCGGTGCCATGCGGACGCTCCCGCTGGTGCCTTCGGTGGAGCTCCGTATGGGGCCACGTGCCAAAATGGGGCGGCGGTGCCATGCGGGCGTCCCGGTGGGGCCTTCGGTGGAGCTCCCAATGGGGCCACGAACCATGCGAGGGGTGTACCAAAATGGGGCGGCGGTGCCATGCGGACCCTCCTGCTAGGGCCTTCAGCGAAGCTCGGTGTGGGGCCACGAACCGTGTGAGGGGTGTGCCAAATTGGTGCGGCGTTGCCATGCGGACGCTCCCGCTGGGGCTTTCGGTGGAGCTCCCTATGTGGCCCCACATGGGACGGCGGTGCTATGCGGACCCTCCCGCTGGGGCCTTCGGTGGGGCTCCCTATGGGGCAACGGACCATCTGAGGGGTGTGCCAAAATGGGGCGGCGGTGCCATGCGGACTCTCCCGCTGGAACCTTCGGTGAAGGTCCTTATAAGGCCACATCCCGTGTAAAGTGTGTGTGTGTGTGTGTGTGTGCCAAAATGGTGAGGCGGTGCTATGCGGACGCTCCCGCTGGGGCTTTCGGTGGAGCTCCCTATCGGGCCACGAACCGTGTGAGGGGTGTGCCGACGTGGGGCGGCGGTGCCATGCGGATTCTCCCGCTGGGGCCTTCGGTGGAGCTCCCTATGAAGATGATGACGATGACGATGCCGATGACGAGGCGGATGGGAGGAGGGAGGAGGGAGGAGGGGGAGGAGCGCGGGAGGTGAGGTGAGGTGAGGTGAGGTGAGGTGAGACGCGGGGCGCTGTCTCTTCAAAACGAGGACCCAACACCACAGGATGGCTGGGAAAAAAAGGCCCTGCGCGTGCTCGCGCGAGAAGACCGAACACCCTCCCAGGCTCTCTCTGCCGAGGAGGGCGGGCTCTCCTCGAAGCCTGCCTCCTCGTTCCGTCGCGCCGCGGCCTGTGGGCCGACGCAGACCCAGCGCCGGCATTCGGGCCCTCCGTTCGGGTGTTGGCAGAAGTGCCCCTGGCCCAAGGTGCCCCCAACTCTTCGCTCCATCTTGGGGGCCGTGGGGCCCTCTGAGCCTCGCGAGGGGTGCTCTGGAGGCCGTCTGGGCCACCCGCGCTTCGCACTTCGGCTCGGATTGCTCCTCATCCTCCTCTTCTCCCCTGGGAGGCGGCGCGAGAGCGCGAAGCTATTGGCACTTCGCGCTCAATTGGGAGCTCTTTGTGGGCCCGGCCCGCCGCCAGGAGGGCCCTTGGTGGGCCTGGCCCGCCGCCAGCAGGGCCACCCCGAGAATCCTGGGGGCACCTTGGGCCAGGAGTACTTCTAGCAACACCCGATCCGTGGGCCTGGCCCGCCGCCAGTCAGGAGGAGCAAAAACACACAGACGCAATCAATCGTCGATTCCCCCGAAAATGTGGGAAACTATGGGAAGGGGGGGGGGAAGACAAAACCCCCGAAAATATGTGACAAAAGGGGGAATCCTGTTGTTTGTGTGTATTTCCCTACCTAGGCTCTGCCTAGAAGGGTTCTTACTCTCTTAGCTTAAAGGGGCCGGGCAATGGAAATCGCCCCGGGTGATTCCCCCAGTCCCCGCCCCGCGGTTCCCCCAGTCGCGCCCCCTTAGCTTGGCTTAGCTTATCTCGTCTTAGCTTGGCTTGGCTTTGCTTAGCTAGGCTTAGCTTAGCTTAGTTTGGCTTACCTGAGCTTAGCTTAGCTTAGCTTAGCCTAGCTTAGCTTAGCCTAATGTAGCTTAGCTTAGCGTAGCATAGCATAGCATGGCATAGCATAGCACATCATAGCATAACATAGCACAGTATTGCATATCATAACTTAGCATAGCTTAGCATAGCATGTGTTAGCATAACACAGCGCATCATAGCATAGCATATCATATTATATCATCGCAGTGCATATCATAGCATAGCGCAGCATAGCAGATCATAACATAGCCTAGCATAGCAAAGCATAGCGCAGCATAGCATAGCATACCATATCATAGCATAGCATACCTTCCCTCCTTCCTCTCTCTCCTCCTCCTCTTCCTCCCTCCTTCCCTCCTTCCTCCCTCTCCTACTAATTCTGCTTTCCTCGAGGCTCCAACTCCTAGGTAGGGTCGCACTGGGATAATGTTTGTTGGTGTGTGTGTGTGTGTGTCCCTGGGCCCCTGAAGCCAGGAGGGCCCCTGCGTGGGCAAGGGCGCCCTCGAGGGCGCGAAGTTATTCGCGCTTCGCGCTTCGCGCTTCGGCTCGGATTGCTCCTCATCCTTCTCTTCTTCCCTGGGAGGCGGCGCGAGAGCGCGAAGTTGTTCGCACTTCGTGATTCGCGCAGCGCGAAGCGCGAAGTTGGGAGCCCTTGGTGGGCCTGGCCCGCCGCCAGTCAGGAGGAAGAAAAACACACAGACACAATCAATCGTCGATTCCCCCGAGAATATGGGAAAAGATGGGGAGTGGGGGGGAAGACAAAAACCCAGAGAATATGGGAAACTATGGGGAACATCTGTTATATTTTTTTTTTTTTGTGTGTGTGTGTATTTCTCTGTGCGTGTCCATGGGCCCCTTGAGCCAGGAGGGTCCCCTGCATGCTGCCCGGCCTATAGGCCCTCTCTGCCGAGGAGGGCGGGCCCTTCTCGAGGCCGTCGCGCCGCGGCTTTTGTGGGCCGACGCAGACCCGGCGCCGGCACTAATGGCCCTCCGTGGGCCGGGCCCGCCGCCAGGAGAGCCCCTGCTCCTCAAGTCCCTCTCTGAGGGGTGCCACTTCCCACCTTGTTTTAGTATTGCGAGACTCTTCCCCTCGGGGCTGTCCTAACCTACTCCTCCTCCTCCGCCTCCTCCTCCTCCTCCTCCTCCTACTGCTCCTGATCATCCTCCTTCTTCTCCTCGTCCTGCTCACTCTCCTCCTCCTCCTCCTCCTCCTCCTCCTCCTCCTCCTCCTCCTCCTCATCTTCCACCTCCACCTCCTCCTCCTCCTCCTCCTCCTGCTCATCCTTATCCCCTCCGCCAGGAGGGCCCCTGCATGCTGCCGGGCCTCCTCCAGACGGGGGGCGCGCTGCTGGCGCCGGCGGGCCTCGCGGCGCCGCTGCCCCCGGCGGCGCCAGAGGCGCCCCGCGGGCGGGCACAAAGCGCGACCGCCCCCTGCGCTCGACGGCGGCGGCGCCCTGCGGGCAAGCCAGGGGCAGCGAGAGAGGAGGAGGAGGAGGAGGAGGAGGAGGAGGAGGAGGAGGAGGAGGAGGAGGAGGAGGAGGAGGGGAGGACTGAGGAGGAGGAGGAGGCGGAGGCGAGGCGGAGGCGGAGGCGGAGGCGGAGGAGGAGGAGGAGGAGGAGGAGGAGGAGGAGGAGGAGCGGGAGGAGAGGAGGAGGAGGAGGAGGAGGGGGGGAGGAGGGGAGGGGAGGAGGAGGAGGGGAGGAGGAGGAGGCGGAGCGCGGAGGAGGAGGGGGAGGAGGAGGAGGAGGAGGAGGAAGAGGAAGAAGAAGAATAACACAGGAGGAGGAGGAGGAGGAGGAGGAGGAGGAGGAGGAGGAGACTTAGGAGTAGGAGGAGGAGGAGGAGACTGAGGAGGAGGAGGAGGAGGAGGAGGAGGAGGAGGAGGAGGAGGAGGGTTTCCAGCGCTGGGGCCCGATAGCCCAGCCCCGCCGGGGAGCATGTGGCTTCGCTATTGCGAATGCCTTACGGCCGGTGCCGCCGAGCCTGAGATTGGGGAGGAGGGCGCGGGGCACGGGGAGGAAGATGAGGAGGGGGAAATAGGAGGAAGAGGTGGATGAGGAGGAGTAGGAGCACAGAGGGGGGAATGAATAGGAGGAGAGTGAGGCGAGCAGGGTCGCATGTACAGGTGGAGAGGGGGGGGCAAGAAGGAAGGGCAGGGGCAAGTAGAGCGTGGCGATCATGAGGAGGAGAAGGAAGGTCATGGCGAGGATGTTGACGATGTTGACGACGACGCCGGTTGCCTATTCAACCATCCGGGGCGTCTCGGAGCCCTCCTGAGGCGACTTCCAGGCTTAGATTTGGAGGGCGCGTGGGGCGGGGACCTGGGCCGGGGCCAGGGCCGGAGCGGGCCGGGAGCCAAAGCCACGGCGGGGCGCTGGGTCGGGGCCGGGGCCAGGACACTGGGGCCGGGGCTGGGGCCGGAGCTGAGGCCGGGACTGGGTTTCTGTCGGGCGTGCCCCCCTACAGGGTCCCCAGACTATGTTTGGATTATTTTTACCTAGCAGCGAAGACTGATAGGTTTCTAGTAGGGTCAAAAGAAAGCATCATGACGCCCCAGGGGTCTCTGGGCGCGATCCGGGGGAGGATGCCGGGGGGATGCCGGGGAATTCGTTTCAAGCAAACAGTAACGCACTTCGTGGTCTTCGAGTTCCCAGAACTCCATTATGTGGCATGATTTTGAATGCCCGGAGCCAATTGTAAGCCATTTCGTGTTCTTCGTGTTCCCAGAACACCACTCCCGGGCCACATGTTGAATGCCCGGAGCCAACTGTAGGCCACTTCGTGTTCTTCGTGTTCCCAGAACACCATGGTCGGCGCACAGGAACCCGACACCAACACCAAGAAGCCACTAGAAAAGAAAACATTGCAGCCTCTGTTGAATGCCGTCGCCCGTGTCTTCGGGTTCGCGTGTCCAGAGTTGATGAATGCCAGCTCTGGGCGCGTGGGAACATAACGGGCCGTCTCCAGTTCCCCAAGTGAGCGTTAGGATTTCCATGGGCCGCGCGAGTCCCGCGGGCCGTGCGAACCTCGCCAGCCCCATGAACCCCACAAGTTCCACAAAGGGCTTCATGGGCCGAACGTGCGCCGCAGCGCGCATAAACCCAACGCGCCGCGCTGGCCCAGCATGCCGCGCGGGCACCATTGGCTCCCTGACTCGTCAGGGCCACATCTGGTTTCTGAGCCTTGGAAACCCCGCGGGCCGTGGGAGCCCCGTGGGCCTCAGGGGCGCCATGAGCTGCATGGGACGTTTCCCTATCATGGAAGCGCCGTGGCTTGCAAAGTCGGAGAGCAACGCGAGCCATCTCAAGCTTTCTTGGCTTCGTTGGGTCGCTCAGCCCCCACAGGGAAAGCGCTCCGATCTTTTCCAGTGGCGTCTTGGTGCTGGTGCCGGCTTTTTGTTCCCTGCAACATCAAAAAGCCGACACCAGCACCAAGGCCTCCGCTGGAACGGCGGCCCCATGTGCGAGCTGAACCCCTCGACGATTTCGGAAGGTTGCCACGGGCTGCGGGCTTGGGTCAAGAGGGGGCCACGGTCTTATGCCCAGGCCGCGACGGGCGGCCACCGCCCCCTTTCGCAGAGAGCGGCGGATTCGAACTTGTCGGGCTTTGGTGTCGGGCCAGACGAGGGTCAGGGATGCGACGCGGGCGGACATAGGGTGGGTGAGGGGTGGGGGGAATGAGAGGGGGGCGGGCGGGCGGGGGTAGGCGTGGTGGAGGGCGGCGGTGGGGGGAGTGAAGCTTCAGTCATGGGGGATGCCGCAGCCTTCCCTCTTCTCTCCCTCTTCTCCCGAGAGCGCCCGCTAGTTTCGCTTCTCGCTTGCACTTGTTATTGCCTGCTTTCCCTCCTGCGTGCTGCGCGACGTCTCCCTTCCCCCGTCCTCCTCGCCCACTCTGCGATTCCTCAGGCCAGGGCGGGCTCGCGCTGGTCCAAAACGCAATTCGACACTTCGTGAAACAAATACTTTCTTGGTGTTGGTGTCGGCTTTTGTTCTCCCACACCATTCCCGGGCCACATTTTGAATGCCCGGAGCCAACTGTAGGCCACTTCGTGATCTTCGTGTTCCCAGAGTACCACTCCCGGGCCACATTTTGAATGCCTGGAGCCAACTGTAGGCCACTTCGTGTTCTTCGCGTTATCAGAACACCATTCCTGTACGACATTTTGCTTGCCCGATGTCCCCGTTCGAAAGCAATGATTCGTTCGAAGCAAAGTCCTTTGATAACGGTGTTTCGTTCGGAGATATATAAGCTACTTGATAGCTGTGTCTCGTTTGCACGATTACTGCTACTAGTCCTTCTACTGCTATTGCGAATGGCGTACTGCAACTACTGGCATTGCCACTGCGACTGCGACTGGGGCTGCCGTTGCCACTGCGACTGCCATTGCGAATGGGATTGCGCCTCCGAGTACACCAGAATTCTACAACAGGAATCCTACATGAATCTGAAGGGGAATACTTCCAGATATGCTCATACACATCGCTGTTAGGTTGTTTTGCCCGGATAATTTGATTATTTTTGGGGTGCTTTAATGTTCGTCGAAAATCCCCCTGTAGGGGGACAGGCCCGACTTAAGACTGGGTCCGGGGTTGGGGCCGGGGCAGGAGCCGGGGCCGGCCGGGACCGGGTCCAGGGCCGGGGCCGGGGCTGCATGGGATTCGGGCCGGGGCCGGGACCGGCCGAGGCCGAGGCCGAGGCCGGGGCTGGAAGCGGAGCCGGGAACGCGCGACTTCGCTATCTCGCGCATGTCGCCGATTTATCGGCGGCGCATCGCCGAATCCAAGTACGCACTCCCCCCCGAGCCAGGCCCCCCTCCCGGGCGTTTCTCTTCAATTGACCACAGCGACGGTTTGAGTTGGGAGGCGGCTCGTTGTTCCGCAGAACTTTTCATGGTCGTTCGTTCATCCAGCACTCCTCATGCCCCCAGGCCTTTTTCGCAACCGGAAAAACGGTTGCATTCCTTGCGTAGTGTTTCCTATGGTAGTAGCTTGACTCTGGTCGTCGCCGTTGACGACGGCGGCGACCTCCTAGCGGCGTCCACAACGTTTTCCTGACCGTCGCCGTCGCCGCCGCCGCCATCCTCGCCGTCGTCGTCGCCGCCGCCGTCATCATCGCTGCCGCCGCCGTCGCCACCGCCGCCATCGTCGTCGCTTTTGGCGGCGGCGAATAGGGCATCGTTGCCGCCGCCGCCGCCGTCATCGCCGCCGCTGCCATCATCGCCGCCGCCGCCGTCGCCACCGCCGCCATCCTTGGTGTTGTCGTTGTCGCCGCTTTTTGGCGGCGACGACGAAGGCATCGTTGCCGCCGCCGCCGCCGGGATGGCCGCCGCCGCCATATCATCGCTGCAGCCGCCGCCGCCGTCCTCGCCGCCATCCTCGCCGTGGTCGTCGCCGCCAAAAGCGGCGACGACGAGGACATCATTTCCGCCGCTGTCGTCGCCGTCGCCACTGCCGCCATTCTCGACGTCGTCGTTGCCGTTGGTGGCGGCGACGACGAGGACAAAGTTGCCGCCGCCGCCGTCACCGCCGCCCCCGCCATCATCGCTGTCGCCGCCGTCGTCACCGCCGCCATCGTCGCCGTCGTCGTCGCCGCTTTTGGCGGCGACGACGAGGACATCGTTACCGCCGCCGGCATTGCCGTCGCCGGTTTCATCTCTGCCGCCATCGTCGCGGTCGTCGTCGCCGCTTCTTGCGGCGACGACGATAACATCGTTTCCACCGCCGCCGCCATCGTCGCCGTCGTCGTCGCCGTTTCTGACGGCGACGACGGTGGCATCGTTGCCGCCGCCGCCGTCGTCATCGCCGCCGCCGCCATCATCGCTGCCGCCGCCGACGCCACCGCCGCCATCGTCGCCGTCGTCGTCGCCGTTTCAGGCGACGACGGCGAAAACATCTTTGCCGCCGCCGCCGCCGTCATCGCCGCCTCCGCGATTATCGCTGCAGCCGTCGCCGCCATCGCCGCCATCGTTGCCGCCGTCGTCGGCGCGTCAGGCGGCGACGACGGGGACATCGTTGCCGCGGCCGCCGCCGTCATCGCCGCCGCCGCCATCATCGCTGCCGCCGCCGTCGCCGCCGCCGCCATCGTTGCCGCCGTCGTCGCCGTTTCTGGCGGCGACGACGACGGCATCGTTGCCGCCGCCGCCGCCGCCGTCATCGCCGCCGCCGCCGTCATCGCTGCCGCCGCCGTCACCGCCGCTACCGCTGTTTTCGCCGTCGTCGTCGCCGCTTCTGGCTGCGACGACCAGGACATCGTTGCCGCCGCCACCGTCGCCGCCGCCGCCATCATCGCTGCCGCCGCCGTCGCCGCCGCCGCCATCGTCGCCGTCGTCGTCGCCGCTTCAGGCGGCGACGGCGAGGACATAGTTGCCGCCGCCGCCGTCATCGCCGCCGCCGCCACCATCGCTGCCGCCGCCGTCGCCGCCGCCGTCGTCGCTGGTTCTGGCGGCGACGACGGGGACATTTATGCTTTGGCCGCAATCATCGCCGCCGCCGCCATCATCGCCACCGCGGCCATCTTTGCCGTCGTCGTCGCCGTTCCTGGCGGTGGCGACGACAAGGACATCGTTGCCGCCGCCGCCGCCCTCATCGCCGCCGCCGCCATCATCGCTACCGCCGCCGCCTCCACCGCCGCCATCCTCGCCGTCGTCGTCGCCGTGGCGGCGACGACGAGGGCATCGTTGTTGCCGCCGCCGTCATTGCCGCCGCCGCCATCATGGCTGAAGCCGCCGTCGCCACCGCCGCCAACATCGCCGTCGCCGTCCTGTTTTTCAGCGGCGACGACGACGGCATCGTTTCCGCCGCCGTCATCGCCGCCGCCGCTCGCTGCCGTTGCCGCCGCCGCCGTCGCCGTCGTCGTCGCCGCTTCTGGCGGAAACGACGGGGACATCGTTGCCGCCGCCTTCGCCGTCATTGCCGCCGCCGCCATCATCGTTGCCGCCGCCGTCGCCACAGCCGCCATCCTCGTCGTCGCCGTCGCCGCTTCAGGCGACGACGGCGAGGACATCGTTGCCGCCGCCGCCGTCATCGCCGCCGTCGCCGCCGTCGCCGCTTCAGGCGACGACGGCGAAGACATCGTTGCCGCCGCCGCCGCCATCATCGTTGCCGCCGCCGTCGCCACCGCCGCTGTCCTCGCCGTCGTCGTCGCCGCTGGTGGCGGCGACGACGAGGACAACGTTGCCGCCGCCGCCTCCGTCACCGCCGACGCCGCCATCATCGTTGCCGCCGCCGTCGCCACCGCCGCTGTCCTCGCCGTCGTCGTCGCCGCTGGTGGCGGCGACGACGAGGAAATCGTTGCCGCCGCCGCCGCCGTCATCACCGCCGCCGCCATCATCGCTGCCGCCGCCGTCGCCACAGCCGCCATCCTCGCTGTCGTCGCCGCCGCTTCAGGCGGCGACGGCGAAGACATCGTTGCCGCCGCTGCCGCCGTCATTGCCGCCGCCGCTATCATCGTTGCCGCGGCTACGTTTGCCGCCGCCGCTATCATCGTCTTCGCCACCGCGGCTATCTTTGCCGTCGTCGTCGCCGTTCCTGGCGGTGGCGACGACAAGGACATCGTTGCCGCCGCCACCGCCGTCATCGCCGCCCCCGCAATCATCGCTGCCGCCGCCGCCTCCACCGCCGCCATCCTCGCCGTCGCCGTCGCCGTTGGTGGCGGCGACGATGGGGACATCGTTGCCGCCGCCGCCGTCATCGCCGCCGCCGCCGCCGCCATCATCGCTGCCGCCGCCGTCACTCACCACCGCCGCCATCCTCGCCGCCGTCGTCGCTTTTCTTTCAGGCAACGACCAAGACATCGTTGCCGCCGCCGCCGTCATCACCGCCGCCGTCATCTTTGCTGCCGCCGCCGTCGCCGCCGCCGCAACCCTCGCCGTCGTCTTCGCCGTTTCTGGCGGCGACGAGGCGGACTGGCGGCGACGACGCGGACATCGTTGCCGCCACCGCCGCCGCCGCCGTCATCGGCGACGCCGCCATCATCGCCGCCGCCACCGCCGCCATCCCCGCCGTCGTCGTCGCCGCTTGTGGCTGCGACGACGAAGACATCGTTGTCGCCGCAGCCGCCGTCATTGCCGCCGCCGCCACCATCGCTGCCGCCGCCGTCGCCACCGCCGACATGCTCGCCGTCGTCGTCGCCGCTTCTGGTTTCGACGGCGAGGACATCGTTGTCGCCGCCGCCGCCGTCATTGCCGCCGCCGCCATCATCGCTGCCGCCGCCGTCGCCACCGCCGCCCTCCTCGCCGTCGTCGTCGTCGCAGCTTTTGGCGCATCGCTCCCGCCCGCTGCCGAGCCGAGCCCGGCCGTGGCTCCGCGGCCACGGTGCCCCCCTACCCGGGCCACGCCGCGTGCGGGGGGATGCGCACCCCGGCGTTTTTTCGTTGGCCGTTGCCACTTTGCTTCTTCGTGCTGGCCGCCCCCAGTCGGTCTCGTCCTGGCCCTCGTGCAGAAGAAGAAGAAGAAGAAGATGACGACGCCATAAACATAAACTGCTGGCGCTCCGCGCGGGTTCCTTGGATTCGCGCTGGGGCCCCCCGGCGCGCTCAGTGCGTCAGGGAGGGGGCCCAGCGCGGATCCAAGAAATCCGCACGGAACGCCAACAAATTACGTTATGATTGTTTTTCTTTTTACATCGTTGTCGTTTTTTCCACTTGGCATCGCGCGGGCGTATGCAATTTTTGTTC